AATGATTGAATTATTTTCGTTGGTTCCATTCTCTCATCCGGGTGAAAAATATCCATTTCGAACATATAATCCTCCACAACGTCGTCAACTTCGTGATATTGATCCATTATCTGTCCCGCCCTGGAAAAATGATAGAATAGTTTTGTTAGGTGATGCTGCTCATGCTATGAATCCATTATTAGGATTAGGTTTGTGTTTATTAAATGTTTTTATAAAAAAAATTTTTTTTTAAATTAGCACTTATTTACATATTTAATATATATTTTTAGGTGTAAATAATGCAATACAAGATGCCGATTTGTTGACCAAGGAATTACTTAATTACAAAAATGATAATTTAATCGCGTGCATTCGACGATATAATGAACAAATGCGAGTTCGATCATCTAAAGATGTTATAAAATCACGTAACACGGTACTAAGACAGAGAGATCCGGTTGGAAATTTTGGGTTAATTGTTAGATATTCTATTTTTAGAGCTATTAACATTCTTATTAACTTTATCGTATTTATTAAAATTCGTATTTAAGTGTAAATTTTATTTACTATTTATGTCATCATTTATTATATTATTTACTTTAAAATTATCTCGCATACTGTAAATTCGATACCCTTTCTAATAAATTATAATAAAATTATACTTTCTTGTAAAGATTGATACACCAAAAATAAAAAACTAATCTTGTCTGTATGTGAAAGTTTTTAATTAGCAAACTATATTCTATCACACATAGCTATGTGATATATTCTGTATATTATTTTATCTTTTAAACGATAGACTTTTGCAGGCAACTTTGCCTGCAAAAAATTATCCATTAATCACACGTATTACCTCTGTTAAAGTCGTTTTTTAAACGATCTAATCAAGGGGTCGATTAAAGCGGTGCGGGTTTTTGATCATAGGAAGACATTCGTATGATTAGTTAATTTTTGTAGCAGTGTTGGACTATGACCTATTGTGAGTCCCGGAAACCGACCTAACTGCTGCGGCCTAAGCATGATCTAAGATCACGGGGTTAAGTGCATTTATTGCATTTATGGAATTTAACGCATTTATTGCATTTATCGCATTTATGGAATTTTGTTGCATAAATTAGAATTATGGCATTTATGCCACTTATTGTAATACCGAATCTTTTATTATAAACTAGATAGCAAGTACCTAGCCATGGCGAAAGCGATGTGTCGGGTCATGTGATTTCCGACGCACCGAATGATCACCAACCAATCAAAATCTAGGATCTGGTGTAACGTGAAATTTTACGAAAACAACAGTTTTTTCAAAAATTGTAAATAGCTCGAAATTTTGCTTATGAAATCACCTAAGCTCTAATTAAAAAAATTCTTTGCAAAATTTTACTATATAATACACTTTTCCTAACCCTAAATATATTTATTTATGTGTTGTATTCAATTGCTTTGATTTTTGGATATCAGACCAGATGGTATCTTCCCCTAGATCGCCACCAACATTTTTACTGACACATGATTATGTGTAACACACCGAAAAATTCTTTAAGTTCATTTAGGTTAGGGTTAGGGTTAGAGAGAGCTATAGGTAAAATTGCTCAAGGAAAACTTTTTGTTAAAGCACTAATTGTAGTTTATTATACTACATTTTGAGTTACAAGTGTTTTTTTACAAAGTGAACGTTTGTTGTGATTTTTCCTGATCATGTAAACCTACACCTGATCTTGAAATGTGGTTGGTTTAAAATCACGTGTGTGTGAAAATTTTGAAAATTTGGTGGCAATCTAGGGGTGCAAAAGTATCGTTTTTGACAGATCTGTGGTTGCTTTTTTGATAGGTCTAAAATGTATCCCAAAATTGATTTATGTTTTTGATGCGTTTATAGAAGACTAATAGAGGGCTGTACCAATTTTTTAAAAAAATTGAGCTAAGTTATC